TTTGATTACTAATAATGGCGTCTTTTAAACCTGTGAAGTGTTGGACGCAGATCTGTGCGAGACATAATGGTGTATTGTGTCTCATATCGACAGACAAAAGGATATTATTTATTTATTTATTTATTTATTTATTTATATCGTCCCATTAGTAGAATAATGTTCTATTTGCAAATTGTCGACTTTTCAGTAGAGCGATTATAAATTTCGCGCTCACATATTTGCTTATAAATCTGTTATAAATGATACTAGCTACTTAATATTTGTACAGTATGCACAGACGTTAGTACCGTTTATGATAATATAATTATTTATTTTATAAACTATGCCTTTTCAAGTATAATGGGTCGCATGTTGTATGTGCACATACAACGTTCTTTTGCCAAAAAAAATATTGAATGAGGTGTCTTAAGGATACATAAAACAATATTCGACGAAACTATTCACGATACATCGGCATATCAAACATTATTTTACGAATTTTGGCGGTTGTATCCGTGTTTTATATGAAACTGTAATACTAAGAAAGTAGAATAGTTTTTAAATTCATCATTATTACTGAGTATTTTTATATATTTAAAAACGTTGGAGTTTTCTTAATCAATTTATTAGTCAATGTTGTAATCAATATACGAGTAAATTAAAAATAAATACAAACTGATTACATACACTATGAGGAATAACCTAATCAAGATATTTATTATAAAATTATTAAAAGAGGTGACAGAAAAACAGAATAATGTTCTTTAAATTCTTACAAAATAAATACATGGCGATTCATAAGAAAAAAATATTATAGATCACTTAAAACTAACTATTGACTTATTTCTTTTTGTGGTTATTCTTATGAATAAATCAGTCATATATAATTATGATATAAAGTTAGCTTAATAATAAAAACACAATAAATAATTATGGCACCATTGTGAATATAATAAAAAATATCAAAAATCAATAATTAGTCTAAAACATAGAAAACAATTATGTATATCAAATATTATATCTTATATCTACTAAAGAGGAAAGATTTAATTTTTTGTTTGTTTGCATTGAACAGGCTCCGAAACCACGGAAACGATTTCAAAAATTTTTTTAGTGTTGTGTCTTACATACTACACCCTTGATAAGGAAAAGAAGGGAACCGTGTGGAAATTTCGATAATGTAACCCGATTTGTGAAAAAGCAACCATAAATATTGCTTAATCTATTGACTACTAATAGAAAACTGTAAAAGCAAATGCTTTTGTATTCTTTTGGATTCCTATCCCCAATCCTTTAAAAGAGCGCGAACGAAGCCTTGGGCAGAAGCTAGTCCATTAAAATAACGTATTCATTTCATTGAATTAGAAAATCCCTGATCCTAATGCAGTTACATAGTAGTATTAGTCCTTGAAAACCCGTAGTATTTCATTTTTTTAAAGTAATTTTTAGTCCGTCGAGGTTAAATTTACCATGAAAGTTTGCCCGTCTCCTTTAGGTATTAAAAGTAGCGTCTTACCGGTACAAATCAGGCCACATTATTAGTACCAAAGTAATAACCCGGAAGTCCCAGAATTAGAATATATGCTATATCTCAGGACTCTATCTTTTAAACCACTGTGGTTTACGGTTCACTGGCACTGAAAAAATCACTGGGACAATCTATCGCTTAAAATACTGAACCTATTTGAGTGCTCTTCTGTTGAAATTTGTACATTCGGACAATAACCTACCGTCTAGATATCATTTCGTCGTGTTTTTTCTTAAATAATGTGATTGGATAGATGCAAATGAGTTCACTTAGTCACAACCGCTAGTGATCATGTCTTCTACGATTACCTTCCTTTAATTTTTGTGGCAGTCTCTGTAATTGTCTTCTATGACAGTGCTGTTGCAGTACTTATCTCATGCAGTTTTAACTATAGTTTTGTAGCGTATTGCGTCGCTTGCTCTTTATAATATGTATAAATATAATTGCAATTCTTTGGTGTATCCTGATTCAAACATCTGTTTTTCGTCTTGGTGGTGTACTTTATTTCATATTCCCCATTTAATGCAAATTCCAGCTCAAAGATCGTCTATTCCACTGGTACCACAAACTCACCAATTGAGCCTGACCTGCTGTTTCCTCATCGTTTGAGAAATCATCATTCAAAAATTTAATAATAAAATTAAGAATAAAATTATATTGGATAAAATTATTTTTCCTTTGATTCTGTAAAAGTTACAAGGAGTATATGCATAACATAACAGTTTAAAAAAATCTGTAAAATAAATGTATGTACATAATTTAGATATATGTAATTTGATGAGTGCTCGAGTGGTCTATTGTGGTAGTACGCACTCACTTTTTACGTGTCACTGTTTAATTTTTTTTTGCTCTAATCTGGCAGTTTGAAAAAATAAACTATTTCGATTTTTCTAATACAGCGGAGCACGCAAGCGAACATTTCAAAAAAGGGAGGTGTGCACTCTTGTATTTAGGTCCATTGGTATTTTCAATGTAAACTTATATTAGTTACTTGTTTGCTTTACCTACCTAGTCTAAACGGTACATTTAGTTGTTAATAGATTATTGAATAAGCTGTTCATATTTTAAATTAAATTTAACCATTTTATAGCAATTTTAAAATTTCGAATAATGTTTTATAATAAAACCGTTGGTAAAAATAAGTGTCATTTGCATATACGGCTCTCACTTTAATTATTTTTTTTGTAGAATAATGTTTTATGCGTACTTGCGGACGAAAAACATACAAAATTTTACGTAGTAAAATGTACTAGGTTTATAAGAAACTGGAAAAATAGGGGAAAAAATAAGACAAGTGCTATTAGATACCGTAATGTTATATAAGTTATTATTAAAGTATTTAGTTCAGATTTAAGTTCTAATAAGTAAGCTTTGGTATTTCGTAAAAAAATGTTTTATGTGATTATAAATACTGTCTTTGTGGGAAATTAATAAAACGTAGTGTAATTTGTATCAAACCATTATATACAACAAATTTTATCAAATTTTGGATATTCAGCGTAACAAACACCACTCGCTGCTACTTCGTCGAACAACGTTACTTAGGATGAAGCGACACGGCACGCACAGGTAATTGCGCGGGAGCAAGGCGGAGAATATTGTTGTATGTGATCATGCATAGTTATTTTACGTAGTCGGCGCGGATAAAACTTTATTCGAGCATTGTATCTTTTGAATTAATGGATAAAAATATATAAAAATAGTATTAATCGATAGTTTACATTATAAGGATGACGAATTTAACATAATATGAATTTAGACACATGTGATTATAACACTTTATTCTTCCAATGGGACGATATATACTTTATTGCACACATAGAAAAATTGTAAGCATTTCAATAGTAATTTGAGTACAATGGGCGGTCTTATCACACGCGGCGATTTCTTCCAGACAACCTTTCTATGGAATTTTTGAAAAGAATCTGGGAATGGGTGGTAGATGCACAATAAAAGAAAACCAAAATAGAAGAAAAACAATAAAAAACAAATTAAACAATCAATGAAACTTACAGACTTATTATAATACATAAAAGATAAAAATGGCAATACTATGTAATAAATATATACTTAAATGTAAAATGATAACTATATATAGTTACGTGTATGAGTATGTGTGTGTGTGTGGTGTGTGTGTGTGATATTACCATAAAGGCTAGTGTTGAGTAGGTACCTATATTACCGATTATATTATGAGTAACATATATTAGACGACAACGAGCATGCATGATAAGACTGGTGACTGTTGATAAAGCAAAGGAGATAATAAAAATCGTAGCAATTGGTGTTCCAAAGTCTCTGCATACCCCCATGGGAGATAGGCAGGACGTTACGTACCTATGTACGTATTAGTGAATGAGTAAATAAAGATTTGAAGGCCTAATGAAAATACACAATAGTAATTTTATATGAGAATCTACAATGATGCCTTATGCTCTTCAGTGACTCATGACCTTTCCTTGACTCCAAGCAGTCGACAAGAGCAACATTTATTTTAACTTTTTAAAATTAATGAGGTAAACAACCCTATTATGAGCATCTAAAAGCATTACTCAGCCATTTAACTCTAAAAGGCTCGAAATGTAAAAAATAAGATTATTCAGAGAGTTTTTGTTAAAATATTTCATGAGAAAGTTATGTTTGACTGGGAGTTTAAACTAAATGGATTATAAAAATTACTGGAGTGCCTACCTTTTTAAATCTGTTTACGAGTTTATCCTTCTCTTATTTTTTTAAGTTGGACGTGGACTTTGTAATTGCTTTTTGAAGTAAAATATGATTTCATGTTTTAATGTACCTTTAAGGTAGGTAAGGTAGACCTTTGAGTTCGTTTAAGCTTTCATACCTCTATATGAGAATTTCCTGATAATATTTTTGAGTTTGTTGTAAAATATGGTATTAATAAGATAACATATTCATAATATATTAAAACTGAACTAATAATTTTCCTTAATAGATACTTTGCCATTTGAAAAAATATCTGTAATATAATTGTATAGGTATGTACATGAAAAGACTGACAAAACGAAAGAGGTATGTAAAAATTGTAGCAATTGGCGTTCCATAGTCTCTGCCTATCCTTTTAGGAGACAGGCGTGAGGTTATTTGTGTATGTATAGGAGCAGACTGTACAAAAATATATTAATTTTCATCTGGTCTTCCACATATTTTTCAATAGTTTTCATTTAATAGTTCAATAGTTAATAAGACATTCATGTCCCTGGGACGCGCCGGACAGCAGTGTTCTGGTGTACTCATGGCTGTATCTACTAAAGATCCTGGGTTATGAATTGCAGCGGTTTTGGGAGGTTGCGGCAGGATTGTCCCTTATTAAAATAATAGTTTTCTTTAAATATGTTTTCTATTATTTTCACTTCCACATACGTTACAGTTAAGTATCAAAAAAATGTACCACTTACAAACATTCTACCGCCTTTCTAATACAATCTACTAATGACAATATATATATTTACTTTATACAATATATACTTACGTATCTATCGTGGCGTTGACCGCCGTTTTACTGCCAACCCTCGCCGGGTTGTGGATTACTGGCTCTGGAAGAAAAGAAATAAAGTTCAAGGTCAAACCCATAAAGAATTTTAGTAGCTTGAACTAGATACATGTAGTGACACTCTTGGTCCGTCACAAATTGTCTGGTGTAAATGTGTAACATCTGGTTAGTAACAGTATACTTTAGAAGAACTTTTCTCAATGGGGCTTACAATATTTTTGCTCAGCAGATGGCGCTAGTGAGACTTTCTCGTTCTTTATCCAATAGGGAATTAGCTAATGTCGCAACATTAGACGTTCAATATTTGAGGACTGCTGTAATTGGACTAAAAACCTCTTCACACGTTCACGCAATATAGGGTGTAAAAATATGCAGCCGTGGAAGACTTAACGGGTTGCCCGGGCTCCGGCTCGTAATGCAGGAGTAAGAATGTGGTAGTTTTTACTCAGTAAGAGTCTGATACTCCCTCTCGCATCACCCGGGCGGGAGAAGTCAGTGGATAATTTTCTCCTCACAAAAAAAAACATAACA